ATTAAGTGCAGAATTTGAAGTTGATGACTGTTTCTTAGCAGAAGCCGGAGGCACGAGATCTGCTGCTGTTGCGGGTACGATCGCCTCACCCTCATCAAAGTCTTCCTCTTCATTGAACCACATTTCTTCCTCTTCATCTAATTGTCTCTGGTCCCTTCTATATCGACTATTTCTCAGTATGGATGGAACGCTAAATAATTATAATTGAAATATATATATTAGAATTATTTTCTATAGAAGACAATTTATTCAAAAAATTGTTTATTTAAAAATATATACCTATCAAGATTTGCTCTATCTCGATCTTTCAATTTATCTTGATGCTGTTCATACCTTAATTTCAAAGCTTTAAATGTTTGTACATAATCAATTGCTTCTAATTCTTTCGAGAAATTTTCAACAACATGTGAACATAACGATTTAATGTCTTCCTACAATAAAATTAGATATAATATAATATATAATTTTTTTTTGTATATATATATATATATATATATATATATATATATATATAAAAGTATATACATGCTTACCAGTTTAATAAATTCAAACATTTCAAGAATAGCAGAATCCAGCAAATTATATCTACCATTATTTCTCACAAATGCATCAAATACAGGCGCAAATAAATTTCCTTTAATGATATATCTGTTATAAAATTCATCTTTCAAAGCTACAATTTTTCTCATAAACCTTAAAGCACACAATACTAAAAATGTATGTGTTGATTTCATCAAAACTAATATCCGTTTGAGCAGATCTTTATTCAATATGCAATTTTTTATATGATAAGTATGGTGTTCTACACAAAATGATAATAATTCTAAAATTAATCCTAAAAGCTGTACTGTTCTATAATCTTCTCTTGCTGGTCGTTCTCCAATTGTATTTGCTAACAATGGTGCTATCAATGTTCCAATACTATTTTTGTAAAAGTAATTTAAGAAATCAGTCTTTTCTGATTTGTTAACAGAAGCCAACATATTTTCTGGATCTAGGAGCAAGCGTAGCACACCAGCTAATTGTACTGCTCCACCCAACTCTGGATCACTATCGCCAACAAGTTGAGCAACTATTACATTTATTAACATTTGGTCCTGTTCTGTATTATTTATTTGTTGCAATGTATAATCTCTAACAACACTTGGAGAATATTCTACTATATAAGTCAATATATCTATACTGGCGGTTTTTGTTTGGGCATCGTTCATTGCTAAAGTAATTTCTAGAGCAGGTAATATACCAAGTGCAGTTAAAGTTTTATAAAAGGCCTCCTTTCCTTGTGGTTGAAGATTCTGAGAAAAATTACAAAATTCTTTTAAGAAAAGAACTAAATCTCGTCTTTTATTATCTGATGTTGCCTCATCAGTTAACTGACGGAATAGTTCAGTAAGAAATTTCTCGTCATCTTGTATTAAGGTTACTATTTCAACCTTATTAAAAAATATAAAGCTACTCAATGTGTTTAACATGTTATCCTCAAATACACTTGGAGTTGGTAAAACTACATCCTGAATATATTGAACTCGATACGTTTGATGAATCTTAGCTAATAGCTCAGCATTTGTAATAGGAATTGCTTGCTTAAATCTGGCTAACTGTCGAAGATATTCTCTATGCCTCTTTGGCTGAGGTAATGTTGGCTCATATTCCAAACATCCAACAACATCAAAAATTGTATCTTCGCTAAACATAACTTCAAATAATGTATTTTTATTAAGTAAGAAAATATTTTTAAATATGTCATACAAATGATGCAATCCTTCGATATTTTCTAAATCTTCACAAGTATGAAATAGATTTAGTAGTTTTTTGATATAACCTTCTGATTCCAAAGCCAGTGCTAATTTATCTTTTCGCATTTGAGAAGATAGGCAATTTCCTATAAGTTCATTAATATCTTCCAATCGACTTAATTCACATGGAGGTAATTCTATTGGAGGTGCAGCATCTGACATATCATCAAATCGTTCATCTTCTGATTCTTCAACAATATCTTGAGTAATTTCAACAGATGGATCTTTTCCTTGAACTTGACATATCTTCTCCCAAATTTCATCACAGCCAGCCTTTTCTTGAAAACTTAAGGCTAAATCAAAGTTTTCTCCTTCTGACCAAACTATTAAAGTATCCTAAAATAAATAATAAATTATTTTTTATAATTTTTATATTAATTATAATTTATAATTTTTATTTAATTTAATATAATTTAATATAATTTAATATAATATTTATATTATTTTTATCTAATTATTCTCAAATTATGTATAAATTATATATATTATATAAATTATATTATATTATATATAAATAATATATAGTTTTAATGTATAATTATTTTTACTTTATTTTTAATTTTTTAAATTATTTTTTTTAATTGATTAAATAATATTAAAAATTATTATTAAAAATAATTAATAATTTTTTTTATTACCTGTTGCTTCTGATATGCTGTATCAGGTTGTATTCTACTTTCCAACAAAACTGAACCATCACTTTCTGCTCTAACTAAAAGTGAAATTCCTTTCAGTCTATCTACATATGAAGAAGAAACATGACCTGTACCACGATCATCCCATTGTCTATCAACATTAAGAGCATATAATTTTACTCTTCTACGTGTATCCGTCATGTTGTAAAAATTAACTTATAAACCCTATTTTATATCACCAACTATCTTGCATCCCTTTAAATTTCACCAACTCTTTGGCTTTTTGAACAAATGTATGAATAATTCTCAACTTTTTAATATGTCGACAAATGCAACAAAATCTGCATATATCGATCTGTCATTTATTTCTTTGAAACCCATTAAGGCTTTTTATTACAAGGTTAACTTTATAAGACAAAAATATCTTGAAATATATATAATCCTTTTATAATTCTGATTCATATATAAGATTTTTTTTTTGATAACTTAGACAAATTAATAACGTAATTGTTAATTAATAAATACACCATAAGGATTTTTTATTCATTTCTAACAATTATTGACAATTTTACAGATTTCATCAGTTTATATGTTCTTTCTTATCTTTTTCACTAATTCTGTAATATTTCGTTTAACAAACTTACACAATATTGAATTTTGTCACTAAAATTGTTAAAATAAAATTCGAGCAATGATGATCTGTCACGTAGTTCACATTCTTTCAAGTTCGATTGACGGAATAAGATTGTTTACCGTAATAGATGTTTATGCGCTCTTCGTTGCATAAGCCTGATTCTTGCGCCAAGAAAACCTCTCAAGACGCGCGGGAAAACTACGTCGTGCACGTTTTCGTTATCACGTGTTGTGTATAAGGAAGGCTATTAAATCTTAATTGTTTGTCAAATCAATTGAAGAGACCAACTTGTTATCGTAGAAGATCAGAAGAAAATTTTGTTGGTAAGGAGACGGCACTCTGCGTGCTCTCTCACCGCTGTGTACAGTTCCCGCGACAAACGAAACCCAAATTAAAGTCAATCCTTTTATAATACAAATACTCATAAGTACACGATTATTTTATTCGATCTCTTGTAATATCACGATCGTCAACCATTGCAATTCTTCCGTTCTTATTAAGCAAAATCACTCTAAAATTGACATAGACACTGAGCAGCCACAACACTACACTCCGCCATGTTAGATCACAACAACGCGCTACGGGGTTCGCCTCATGTGTCTCAAGGATTTTAGCGCGTAATATGATAGTCTATATTTTATTGAATATTTTCATTAATGAGTGTATATGTGTAATAAATTGTTTAAAATAATTTAAAATTAAATTTAAAGTATTCATATTCTGATATTTTAACTAAATATTCAATTAATATAACTTATTCTTTTCTAATTCTAATATCGTATATCAATATTATTTGATATTATAAAGATTACATAATATTTAACAATTACTAAGTTATATATTTGTTAAATATGAATATGTAATTTATACCTAAATAGAAATAAAATTTTATTTTATAAAATTATTTTGTATAATAATACATATATTAATATTTATATAAATATTTATAATATTTAAATATTTATAATATTTTGTTTTTTTCAAATAATTCAATATTATATTATATTGCAATTTATATATTAAGTAG